GTAGCGTAGCCTGCTTCCTCTCAGCTCTCATGTTAACGTGTTGGAGTGAACACTGAGCTGGAAGCTCACAGACCTGAAAATATTCAAACCAAACCTCTGGACAGATGTTAAAGGTCCTACTTGTCTGGACAGAGATCGTCCAATCACAGGCCACGGCTCACACAGTGTGAACTCCTGACTGGTAAAACTGCTCAGAAACACTCATTGTCACGTCCTTGAGGTGAGTAGGGGTAAAGGGTGGACCCAAATGCGGAGATGGTAGCCGTGTCAAAGAATTTATTCCAAGAAAAACCACAGTCCAAACATGAGTCGCCAAAACACACATTTAACCTCACAACCTACAAACAAACAATGATACCACAAGGACAAGACAGAACAAGGGCTCTTAAAAAGGAACAGAACTGATTAACAATGGAGAACAGGTGGGGAATCAGACACAGGTGGGACACATCAGGGATGATTAACAAAAGGAAGCAAAACTAGAACTCAGACACTGGGGTGACATGACTATCAAAACAAAACAGGAAGTGCACAGGGAAACAGAGCACAAGACAGGGAAGACTAAACTAACCAGAACACCCAAACCAGAAAACACTCAAAACCCAGAACAGAAACCCAAAACACAGAAAACCCAACCAAGAAAGTCCAATAACCAAAAACCTGGAGCCTCCAGGCTGAGACCATGACACTCATGAGTTATTTTTCCCTCCACTGACATCAGCTGTGTCACTGGAGGGAAAGTTGGATCAGATCCTCATCACTGGATCCCAGCACACACAAAACAAACTCTGCCCCCTGCTGGTTCTCTAGTGGAACATGTGACGCCTGTTGTAAGGAAACTTCCTGTAAGATCTGAGCAGCAGGAAGCTCGTGTCGTTTGATCATCTTAGAAATATTAAAAACTGTACGACGTATATTGCAGCTTGTAAAGACAGAGATCGTCCTGCACAAGTTGTTTTATTCACTAAACTGTTTCCATCTTTTTAAACCTGATGATTTTTGGACTTTTTATAAGGAACGTTTTATTTTTTCTTGTCAAGACGTGAAGATTTTAAATAGTTAATTATTATTATTATTATTATTATTATTATTGTTGTTATAACGTGTTGTAATCAGAGTTGATGATGGAGCATGCTCTTATTTTGTAAGGTCCAGATGTTGACAGGAAGCGGTTCCAGCAGAAACACCGGTCTGATCACAGTTGCCGTGGTGATCAGTGATGAAGACTGGCTTCAGTGTGTTCTCTTCAGGTGGGCTGATGAAGAGCATCAGTCAGAACCAGTCTCCATCATCTCCTCCTGGACCTTCACACAGGAACATTACTGCTCTGAGATCAGTCTGAGATTAGAGCCAGTGACTGTGAGTCTTCATCAGACTGATCTCAGAGCAGCGACAGATCAAACTGTCTCTGTTCATCTGTGAGGCTGTCAGCTGTTATCAGCTTTACTTCCTGTCCACATCAACACAACGACAACAGACGTCTTCACATCAACTCAGACACATGATCACAACAAGCTTCTGGTCTGCCTCTGATTGGCTGACTGTTCTCTCTCTGTCTCTCTGTCCAATCCTGAAGCCTGTCACCGTTCTCCTCTCACAGCTTCACTGAGAAGGATGGAGGTTTACAGGAAACACTGGATCTTTGCTCTGATACTGAGTTTACTACAACACTGCAGAGAGCAGCATGGACTGACTCCACCCCCCCACCCCCACCCCCAACCCCCACCCCCCACCCCACAACACACACACACACACACACACACACACTGACCTCAGAGTCTCCAGTCTACAGTCTGGACTCTCCATGAGATCATGCAGCTCCTTCACTCCTGAATCCTGCAGCTTGTTGAGTCTCAGGTCCAGTTCTCTCAGATGGGAGGGGTTGGACTTCAGAGCTGAGGCCAGAGAAGAACAGCTGATCTTTGACAAACTGCAGTTCTTCAATCTGAATAAAGAATAAAAGAAGTAGATAAAATGATTGATAATGGATCAGATATGTCCTAATCAATGATCTTTGTCTAAAATGAGTAGAGGGACTTCATCATCACATCATCCAAATGTCAGCACAACATTCATACACCTCTTCATGTCAACACAGATTCATCAGATGCTGCTGACCTCAGAACAGTCTGTCAATACAGAATCAATATCTGATCAGACATGTTGGACAAACAAGAACACACACAAACTGAAGAATCATTCTCAGTCTGAGAGAAGAGCAACTGGAAACATGAGACAAAAAAAACATTTAAAATGTTGTTCATTCATTAAATCAAAGTGAATGATTCAAGTTCTGTGTGAAGATAAATCAGCTTCAGTTGTGGGATAAAGATATAAGATCTACAACAGTAACAGTCAGTGAACTGACCTCAGAGTCTCCAGTCTACAGTCTGGACTCTCCAGAAAACCACACAGACCCTTCACTGCTGGATCCTGCAGCTTGTTGAGACTCAGGTCCAGGTGTTTCAGGTGGGAGGGGTTGGACTTCAGAGCTGAGGTCAGAGAAGAACAGCTGATCTCTGACAAACTGCAGCTCCACAATCTGAATAAAGAATAAAAAGTGAGTTTCAGAGACAAAGTTGCTGCTTGGAAGCGTTCAGTGTTTCATCATCTGTTCAGAGCTGAAGAAGGTTTAGAAAGTAGAAGTTTAGAAAATGAAAGTCAAACACCTGAACCAACAGGAAGCAGGTTCAAACAGTCAAATACAAAGAGTGAAAACAGCTTTCATTGATACGACTGAAATGGATCAAAGTTTAAAGATCCAAATGTCAAATGTCTTGATTGGCCCTGGTCTCAGGAAATCCAAAACTAAACACATTAGAGTTACATGGGTACGGTGAACTAGATGGGGGCGGGTTAAGGACTCTCCGATCACCAACATGTAAAGTTGCAAAACTAAAACCAGATGTCGGCGTTGAAGTATTTCCAAGGCGCAGGTCGCGTGCAGACCCGGAGAAGCCCCCCCACATGATGATGACGGCATTGCAGGTGACCCGCCGCCAAGCCTCGACAATTTGTTTGCAGAAATTGCTAAAATGAGCACCACATTGCTGGGAGTGGCGACAGATGTCACAACTATTAAGCAGACTACAACGGAGCTGAAAACCACAGTGACGGCGATGCAGGAGGAATTGGCGGAAGCTGAAACAAGCATTATGGGCCTCGAGGAGGCCTCAGAGAGGCAAGCTAACGGATGCTACGTGGGACCTCATTCAAGCTCTGGAAAATCACATTAAAAGCTCCAGTCAGTGAACTGACCTCAGAGTCTCCAGTCTACAGTTTGGACTCTCCAGTCCAGCAGACAGAAGCTTCACTCCTGAATCCTGCAGGTCGTTGTAGTTCAGGTCCAGTTCTCTCAGATGGGAGGGGTTGGACTTCAGAGCTGAGGCCACGACTTCACAGTGAGTCTCTGAGAGTCGACAACCACTAAGTCTGTGATGAGAGAAAATATAAGATCTGTTAGAATAAATTCAGATTGAATTTGTAATACAAATACAGTGGATGCATATGATGACATAACATGATGATGTGATGAACATCTGCTCTTCACATCTGGGGTTCAGCTCATCTTCTCTCACTGTGTTTGACATGAAACAATAATCCTCATCACTCTCTCAGACCTGCAGAGTTTTAATGTGAATCTTTGTTTTGCAGATGAAGGAGGGAAAATGACGTCACATTTATTCTTCATCATGTGATTTGATCCAGAGTCAGAATGAAGACATGTTGTTCAGAAGAACATTTTTATTGTCCACTGTTTTTAAACTGACTCCAGAACATTTCTTCTGAGTTCAGCTCAGTGAACAATTCAATCTAATCTGTGTTTGCTGCATGGTTTTCACAGACTGTCATCAGGAAACATGACGTTGACCTTTGGTGTGTATAAGAAGACTGAATCCTCCATTCTGCTCTGATATACTCAGACCTGTGTTCCTGTCTGAAGCTGAACATTTCCTGATACGACTCCTCTACAGCAACAAGAGAGAAAACACCTGTGACTTTCTGTCTCATTGAACACAATATATGGAAAGACTTTAAAGCTCCACCATGACACTGAAAAGACTGTTCAATAATCAATAAATCACACTCTTGATCAGTTCAATACACTCAGGTTTAAATCTCCACTCTTGGTCTGGTGTGACCAGTAGTTTATGGAGGCTCATGTTAATGTGTGTGAACTTTAAATAGATGATGTTGGTAAATGACAGGACTGAGTCACTTCACTGATGATGACTTCTCTCTACCTGTGCAGCTGTTACATTATGTTTGATCATGAACCATTATCCCATCAGTGTTTGTTGTCACCACAGCTGCTGCTGTTCAGAGAAACTCACACACTCACTGTGGAGAATTAAACAGTGGAAAGTAGCAGCTTTAATTAGAGCAGACTGTTTTTGTGTCATGTGATTTAAAGGGAGGGAGGCTCCCCCGAACATCCTCCATGCTCATCATGACTTCAGTCATCTCTGGAAAATGATTCAGGTCTTAGACAAACTTCACTAAACACCTGCTAGAACCTGCTCATCACAACTTTACTGTGTCTGTGCTTCACTTCTTTCTAACTCTTCAGACTCCGCCCACACTGACTCAGGTGAGCTCACCTGAGGACATTTATCAGACTGCACACAGCTCCCTCTGGAGACACTAAAGGTTCATGTGCAGTCGTACTAACCAACACCTGGAAACACCTGGAAACACACTGAGGTGTAAGATCAGTGGAGTCCTGCTTTAATTTGTTTCATCAGGTTTGAATAAAACCAAAAGTCAAAACAACACAGAACAAATAAATGAAGCATCTAATAATTAATACAAATAAACAAAATAACTGTTTTAATTCATTTAACAGCAACAATCACAACCAACTGAAGAATCTACATGTTGGAGCTCACAGCTTTTACAACACCTCCAGAAAAAAACACAACTTCATGAGAAGAAATGAAAACTGTGTTTATCTGAACTTGATTCAACCACTAATCTAATCCACTGATCAATAATTATAATGATCATGTCTGGACTCACCCAGCCTTTCTGCAGTTCCTCACAGCTGGGATCAGTCTCCGTCGTCCCTCCAATGATGTGTTGTACTTCTTCAGGTCCAACTCCTCCAGAACCTCCTCTGACATCTGCAGCATGTAGGCCAGAGCTGAGCAGTGGATCTCAGAGAGTCTCTTCTCTGATCTGTTCTCTGACTTCAGGAACTCTTGGATCTCCTGATGAACTGAGTGATCCTTCATCTCCATCAGACAGTGGAAGATGTTGATGCTTCTGTCAGGAGAGATATCATCTCTGTTCATCTTCTTCAGGTTGTTGATGGCTCTCTGGATGGTTTCTGGACTGTTCTCTGTCTGACCCAGCAGACCTCCTAAGAGTCTCTGGTTGGACTCCAGAGAGAGGCCATGAAGGAAGCGGACAAACAGGTCCAGGTGACCATTTTTACTTTTGAGGGATTTCTCCATGGCTGCCCTCAGGAAGACATCCAGGGTTAAATCAACATGTTGTTTCCCCAGGAAGTTCTCCAGGACCTCTGTCTTCCTGTTGGTGTAACAGTGGAACATGTAGACTGCAGCCAGAAACTCCTGAACGCTCAGATGAACAAAGCAGTAGACTGTTTTCTGGAAGATCACACTCTCTCTTCTGAAGATCTCAGTACAAAGTCCTGAGTACACCGAGGCCTCTGTGACATCGAGACCACACTGCTCCAGGTCTTCTTGGTAGAACATGATGTTTCCTTTCTCCAGATGTTCAAACGCCAGCCTCCCCAGCTTCAGAAGAACTTCCCCGTCAGCCTCCGTCAGCTCCTGTGGACTCGTCTCACGTCCCTCATGGTACTTGTTCTTCTTCCTCTGTGTCTGAACCAGCAGGAAGTGTGAGAACAGGTCAGTCAGGGTCTGGGGCAGCTCTCCTCTCTGGTCTGTGGTCAACATGTGCTCCAGAACTGTAGCAGTGATCCAGCAGAAGACTGGGACTTGACACATGATGTGGAGGCTCCTGGACGTCTTGATGTGTGAGATGATTCTGCTGGACAGCTCTTCATCACTGGATCTCCTCCTGAAGTACTCCTCCTTCTGGGCGTCAGTGAAGCCTCGTACTTCTGTTACCCTGTCCACACATGTAGGAGGGATCTGATTGGCCGCCGCAGGTCTGGAAGTTATCCAGACGAGAGCCGAGGGAAGCAGATTCCCCCTGATGAGGTTTGTCAGCAGCACGTTGACTGATGACTCCTGTGTGACATCAGACACAACCTCCCTGTTGTTGAAATCCAGTGACAGTCTGCTTTCATCCAGGCCGTCAAAGATGAACAGAACTTTACAGACAGCGAGCTGCTCTGCTGTGACCTTCTGTAATGTTGGATGGAAAACATGGAGCAGCCTGAGAAGACTGTACTGCTGATCTCTGATCAGGTTCAGCTCCCTGAACGAAAGCAGAACCAGCAGACTGACATCTTGGTTCTCCGAGCCCTCTGCCCAGTCCAGAGAGAACTTCTGCACTGAGAAGGTTTTTCCAACGCCAGCGATGCCATTGGTCAGAACCACTCTGATGGGTCTCTGTTGGTCAGGTGAGACTTTAGAGACGTCTTCTCTCTGTTGGTCAGGTGAGACTTTAGAGACGTCTTCTCTCTGTTGGTCAGGTAAGACTTTAGAGACGTCTTCTCTCTGTTGGTCAGGTAAGACTTTAAAGATGTCGTGGCACCTGATTGGAGCGTCATGGAGGGTCTCCATCTTGGAAGTTGTCTCCAGCTGCCTCACCTCATGTTGGGTATTAACCTCTTCACTCTGTCCCTCTGTGATGTGGAGCTCAGTGTAGATCCTGTTGAGGAGGGTTCCACTTCCTGTTCCATCAGTTCCTTCAGTCACATGTTCACATCTGCTCCTCAGACTGATCTTATGTTGATCTAAAACCTCCTGCAGACCACTATCTGCTGAAAGAGAAGAGACAACGTCAGACTGAAGAAAGAGAATCTGAGAATCTGATGATTATTTTCATCAGCTGCAGAAAAACTAAAGACAACAAAGAAAAGATTTTAATGTTGTGGTATTTATAATCATCTTAAATGTCGATGCTGTGTGATGTAACAAATGACTCTGTATAAAACAACAGGTCCTGGTTTCAGAATGATGACATCATCATACAGATGTTCAGTCTCACTTTGTTCAGTGCTGGTCTGACTGGCTGTCTGCAGTCCAGGTCTTGTTCTGGGTCTTTGTCCACACTGGGGACAGGAGGAGTCTCCTGAAGAACCAGACTGGTCCCAGTATGAGGTGAAGCACTTTCTGCAGAACCAGTGTCCACAGCTGGTAGAGACTGGATCCTTCAGGACGTCCTGACACAGAGCACAGCTGGACAGCTGCTCCTCCACAGAGACACCTCTCCTCTTCTCTCTGTGAAGACATTTCTTTATCACTAACATGTCACAGTCACAGGTCGACATCTGTGTTCTGATTGGTTTGCAACCTCAAGAGGGCGGGGCTTCAGTAACATGAGCCGGCCTGAGGGCAGAGACCAGAGGAGGAGAGAGAGAGAAAGTAGAGGAGGACGAGTGGAGAGCTGAATGAAGACCTGGTCCTTTTCAAAATAAAAGTGTCTCTGTATCTGCTGCTTGAATCTTTACTGTGACTTCAGCTTCAAGGCTCAGACGTGTAAATCATTAAAGTGTCACCTCCAACATGGAGACACTGTGTTTCTTCTCTGTCCTTCTGTTCACTGACAGGTCTACAGACTGGTGGAGCACACACAGCTGTTGATATGAAATCAGCTGATTGTGGGCGTGTCTGAATCCATCTATGGGAACTGTGGAGGTGGCGATCAGGCTGGTGTTGGTGCACCAACTCTCACACTGACTGAGGTTGATGAAACAGTAACATGAGGACGAATTGTTGGGTCTCTGTAAATAATATTATAAAGAGAAGGTCTAGACCTGCTCTATTTGGAAAGTGCCTTGAGATAACTTCAGTTGTGAATTGGTGCTATAAGAAGAAAAGAAAGAAAGAAAAGAGAAAGAAACACTCTGCTTTATAAATCTGATGAAAAGAGTGTGTGTGCATGTTTCTGTCTCTGAGGTTTGGTTGTGAACCTACACAGAGTTTTATGGATGTGGCTCCTGGTTTCTCCCTGTTTCCTTCACATGTGTCTAATAACTGAATCATCTTCAGCTCAGTTTACAGTAGAAACAGTCTCTTACTGTGAGTCTGAGGGTCCAGGTTCATCACTGAAGACTGGAGGTTCATCTTTGGACCAGTAACTCTTCATAGACGGACAGATGGATCCTGGAGACTCTGCTCTGTCCTCCTCTTCCTCCACACAAACACTCATCTTCAGGACTTCAGTCAGTCTGAGAGGGAAACCAGTAACACTGACTGTGAGATAAGACAGAGACATACACACACACTCTAACAGAGTGTACAGTATAATAGACCTGGTCAGTTTTCATGTGTATTATTCAGCTCATTACAGCGTCGAGTCAAACTGTTGATTGTGACACAGTAAACAGGGCTGACAACATACCAACCTCCACTCGGGCCCAAGCAGAAGAACATAAACATCTAAAGGGAGCTCTGAAAACTTGTGGCTATCCGAGTTGGACTTTTGGCAAAACAACAACACGCTCCAGAAAGAATACCAACATGGAGGATGCTGAGAAAATGCAAGATAAACGCAGAAATATAGTCATTCCATACGTGTCTGGGGTCTCAGAGAAACTCCGGAGGATTTTTAACAAACATCAAATCCCTGTATGTTTCAAACCCAGTAACACACTCAGGCAGAAACTGGTACACCCCAAAGACAAAACACCACACAATCAGAAAAGCAACCTGATATATGCGGTCAAATGCAGTGAGGATTGCAATGACCTATATATTGGGGAAACTAAACAACCTTTAAACAAACGTATGGCCCAACACAGGAGGGCAAACTCTTCAGGCCCTGTCTCAGCTGTCTACTCCCACCTAAAGGAAAAGGCACACTCCTTTGAAGACAGCAATGTCAAAATCTTGGACAGGGAGGACAGATGGTTTGAAAGGGGAGTCAAGGAAGCCATCTATGTAAAAGTGGAGAGGCCATCGCTAAACAGGGGAGGGGGTCTGCGACACCATCTATCCCCCATCTACAATGTCGCCCTTTCATCGGTACCCAGGCGAGTCAACAACATAACCTCAGACGACTCTCAACGATCGTCATCCACCAGGGGCTCACCTGACCCTAACGACTGTCGTTCACACGGGATAACAACAGGATCACCTGACCCTAACGACGGTCGTCCACATGAGATCACAACAATGGTCAGGTGAAACCAGTACTTTCACAGGTACTTTGGTGGACCCACCCACAAGAGGTTAAATACCTGGGTCCTACTCCACTTTCTTGGTCAGACTAGTGCGGACTAGAGAGACCAATACATGATGAACTGATGAAGCCGCTTGGATAAGAGGCGAAACGTCTTCCACAGACAAATACAAGTCCAGTTGCCTTCGATTCAATTTGAGAGAGAGAATTAAACAGGAAGTACCACACCTCATGTTGTTCCCTCCTCTCCTCTCAGTGTCTTTGTGTGGACAGAAGTTCACTGTGACTCTTCTTCCCTCCACAGGGACAAACTGACTCTGAGACTTTGACAGTGAAATAATAATAATGTTTAAACACTCACCTGCCTCAGTCTTCAGTTTCCCTCCTTCTGCTCCGACAGTTAAAATGGCGTCTGAACTCTGAACACTTTCACTTTCATCTGCTCCTCCTCTCTGCAGTTACAGGAAATCACGTGTGTGTGTGTTGTTCAAGATACAACTTGTTTAAATTAGTTTTCGTTTCAACATCTGTTTGTTAAAATTACAACTAATGTGCTTTTTATTTGATTTAATGTCTTTTACAGACCATATATATAATAAAGAATATAAATAAAGTTTGTGATCATTGTTGTAGGAAAAGGAAACCAAGCTAAATGCGGATCTACTGTTCGTCACCTCCTGTTGTTGTTATAGATCATAACTCAATTCATCCTGCTGGACTGTGCCTCCTCCATCAAAACCCAACTGACCAACATCACATATAAAAACCATCAGCCTCCCTCCACCTGACCTCTCAACATGAACCACAGACATGCCTTGAACTCATAAACAACACTGATCACCTCCCTGACCCACACTCCACTTGATGTCAGCTGATTTACCTGATCTCCAGGTAGAGAGAGAGGGAGCAGGACTGAGAGGGAGGAAACATTCAGAGTGTCCAGACGCTCAGTTCAGATTCAGGACCAGCATTTCTCCAAAATGATCCATTTATTTTTCTGCTGTGCTGTGGAGGGAAGAGGAGTCAGAACGAATCCACTTTAATTCATCTGCAGGTACAAAGTCCTGATTGGATGACAGAACAGGATATCTCCACAGTCAAGCACAGACATGAAGATCCACTAGACAAGTCTCCAGTGTCCTCAAGAGAAAAACACACACCTGTGGAGCATTGTGTTTGTCATCTATTTTATCTCATTTTTATTTCACTCTATTTTACTACCATCACATGTTCATCATTTTTATTTTCTCACTCATTGTTCTCAAGACAGAACACAAACCACACAGAGCAACAGGAAACAGAAATAACAAACCATTTCAGCACAGTCTGTATAACGATGCCACCAAGACAGAGACACAATGAACAGTAGATAATAGATATTGTAACAATCATTAAGTTGGTCTTGATAAAATGTTAAAACATGCAGTTGCAAGTTCAGGCTTAGTAACATGGTCACACACATTTGACACACAAGCCATACAACACAAAGGTTAAGGACATGAATAGGCCTGAACAATTAATGGAAATATTATAGAATTTGCAATATGGCCAAGTTCAATATCCAAATTGCAAATGTGTCATAACAACAGACCATAAATAAAGCGTTGTGATGCTACAGAGACACCCCGACCTACAAATCAGTCTCCAGATGTAAAGGCTTGTTAGGTACAGACCCAATAAAAATCACATCATTATTTTTTATATTTTTTGCAGTAAAAATGAAACAATGACCACTCTAACTGAAATCATGACTCATATCACAATATCTGTCAAAATAATCCCAATATGATCTATTGCATATCATTCAGCCCAAGACATGACTGTAGAAAAACATACAAGTTGTTAATAAAATACCATAACATAAAATAGCCTGCCAATGTCTATGGACTTTTAAGCTTTTAAGGACTTAACAGGATAGAAACAGACAGACTGACCTTATATGTGAGTAGTCTGAAAAATAAATGTATTCTTTGGTTTTGAAACAACAGACAAAACAGTATATGGACAGGACACAAACCCTGGGAGCCCCCCAATGCCCTGCCAATGCTTTACTGCCAGAGAAAAACACTGCCTGGACATTATGTTGTTGTTATTAAGCCATTCATTTAAATCAATGAATTATATCTTATGAGAAAAGTCCCTCAGCTAATGGTTGAAACAGTCAGAAAAATTAACTTATGGTTGAAATAGTTAGCTAAGAGTAAGTTATGGTTGAAATAGGTAAAGAACTGGTAACCTACCCGCCTCACGGTCTCTGCTCCGTATTGGTGTGGAGTTGAAATGGAGATGAGGGTGGTGCAGTTGAACAGGTGTCTGTCTCCGGGCTGTGGCTCCGTGTCTCTGTTTCATGTTGATATTCTGCTGAACTGTCAGCAACTGCTGCTGACACTGTCCTCCTGGCTTCCACATTAGCATCATCCTCTCCAGGCTCTTTGATCATGCTAGCAAGCTGACTTTCAGAAATAGTCCAGATAGATGTTTTTCCTGAATTTCTTCTTTCTCTGATATCTTTTCATTTTTCATCTTTCTCTTCCACACTCTTCTGCTCCAACATGTGTTTTCCATGAGGTATTAAGAAACGTCCTTCTCATCCAACCAAAAGCTGCATGACGTCACCCATAGGTTTCTGAGGAGCACTTTTGAAGCTGAGTAGCGGCTCCGCCGTCGCCATTTTAGCAGTGCATAACTCCCGCCTAATCCAGAAATGGGCAAAGATGTGGGGCGAGTGTGGAACCGAGACTTCGGTTCATGGCGGTTTAATTATGAAACTGTCACATCTTAATTAAGAAGTTCCCCTTGTTCAGAGCTGGTTCAGTGCTCTACCCAGCTACAGTTACCCCTCGCGGGAGCGCGCACACCAAAAGCGGGAAACTACGGTACACCGTGATGATGTCAGGGTCCTGTTGAAAAACGTTTCATCGTTATTGGGTTCAAGGTTAACAGACTATTTTCGCTAACTGTTTATTGAGGCTGAGGTGTCTACATCTTCTCCTCCTCCTCCACCACCACCCTTAGCTCTTCAACCATCTCAGTTCATTTTAAATAAGCTGTTGGCCATTAGCCTTGTAGTGACAGAGTCTCTAACATCCATTTACAACCGGAGGCTGACATCAGAGAAACAGTCTGATTAATTTCTGGCTGACTTTAGGCGTAACAATTTGCTCTTTTATACCAACGGTTTGCAGTTTATCAGCTTTATAACGGCAGTGTAGCTGTTTTATTTATTTATTTATTTATTTTTATCTAGCTACATGAACATGCTAACGTTTACTTCAGCTAGCTTAAGTTTTATTTGAGTCTGCCTTGCTCCTCACCTTTTACACGTCCAAATTCGGTTGTAACATCCGGAGCCTCTTCACATTTCTTTGGTCATAAATTTCTCCTTTGCTTCTCTGCTCCTTTCATTTTCTCTTTCTCCTGAGGCTTTTCTTTTTTAAGTCGTTCTTGTTGGTGACTCAGCATTTTGACTTGTTAGCTGGTCAGTTCGCGGTTCACAGTGTTCTGCGCATCTGATTGGCCAAGTGTGTCCGACCGCACCATTTTCACAATAACAGCGGGGGGGTTGAGGTATGACGTGACAAGTTGAAATTATTTTTCTACGCATATGTAAATACATATAAACTGTATTGTCCGTGATGTAAATCAGTAAGTACATAGTCGTACTTGACCCCATTTTATTGTTTACCACAGATAGGCATGGGCGGGGGTCATCCCTGCCCTTTGACCCCCACCCCCACCGCGACGGGGCTGCTGTAGCTGAGGGAGATGAGATCAAGATGAGATGAGATGCATCCCATAATATTTCAGTTTAGGTTATAATTAATTGTATGAAATCCACACTGTCGAGACATCGTCAAACGCCAAACTCATAGCTCTCCAGAAATGAAGTCAGTATGAATGCTTCATTTGGCAAATGACACAAACATTATTTTGTTCTTCAAACTCAAATTCACAACCATTTCAGAATTTATAATCCTGAGTTCAGTGTTTTTCAGAAATAACAATCTGAAAAGTTTTCAAACTGATAAATTATCCCTTCTGTATATATATATATATATATATATATATATATATATACACACACACACACACATATATACATATACTGTTTATATATATATGCTTTTGTTATGAGTGTAGCTGCAGGTTCTGAGGAACCAGGTGTAAACCTACCACTATAGTGACATTTTCAATAATATAAAGGCAGGAAACTTGACCACGACAGTGATATAACATAATCTTTCATTTTAACATTATAACATTATACAGGGTTGCTAACAAATTCTAATCTCCCAAAGCAATCTCTCAAATCTCACGTCAAATAAGGAGACCTCCTTCACTCCACTCCTACATGAAGTAAAATTATATATATTAAATAGTTTAATTAAGTGTGTAATTTCTATGCATACAGTCTGAACATCAGGCTTCTTTTCAAGACTCCAGAGCACACAGTTTGCATGTATTACAACAGTCCTTGATTTCAGGTAAAGTTATGACTATTAATTCCAGTATAATGTTACAACTACAGCAGCTGGTGGTGCTATGAGAACAGCTGCTACTAGAACCTACTGTATGTGTAAAATAAACAGGTGCCTTGGAATTATTTGTTTCCTTCATCCAGAGTTTGTACTTTGCTGAAGTTGTTAGACTTCGAAGATGCCTTGTGAGTATACAGCTGTATGTCATCAGCACATCTGCAGAGGACCAAGGTAGCTTCCCTGAGCAACAGCTAAAAGTAACTCATATTCCCCGGACTCCAAGACTCTACCAACCATCTGGATAAATAAATAAATACATACATAAAAATCATTTTTTTCAACCCTTTTCCCACATCATGACTATGGCTGTGTCTGAAATAACCGCCTTGTTCCAACATTCACTACTCCCTTTATATAACAGACGTTCAATACTTCATTTATAGTGAGCAACAGTGAGCTGTAGAGTCAGATGACTGTAATATTCAGCAGCAAAGTGGTGAAAATGCCAAAAACACAACTGTTTTCATTCCATTGTGGAGTTTTTGAGGTCACTGTGTAGAGGATGAATGACATGACGAACTCTAAATGTCGTTCACTATGTAATGAATAGGGAGTAAACTCAGACACAGCCTCCCTATCAAAACAAAGATGGCAGCTGTACATTTACCTGGATAGGAAACAGAGTCAAACCTTGGTGTTTGGGTTAAGGCACAAACAGATGTGTTGAAGTGTCTTGAGCTGTCAGTAGAAATGCTGCTGCCCCGTCCTCAGGAGGTTTGATTTCCAAGATGAAGTTACCAAGTTCAAGGAGTCTGAACTCTGTGTATTTTATGTCCTTGTGACAAGGAGCAGTGAAGCCGTCCTGAAAGCTCAGAGAGGAACTACATCTCTTGAACACGCTGCTGCTGTTACCCATCGCCATGTTACTGTCCAGAAAATAATGAAGTTTGAAGCCTTGATGATTTACACGTCAGCCACAAGGTGGCGGCAGCACAGCATGTTCCCACACTCTGGGAAAGAGCCCAAACACTCCCTCATGTTTCCTTCTGTGTCACCAACAACACCAGTCTACAGTGTTACTTTAAAATAACATGAGAAGAAAGATGCTACACAGAGCAGAGCATTGTTATTGATATATTCACACTGGTACAGACACAAACTGATCACACTTTAACACCAGAAGAAACAGTTTTTAACGGAGGGAGGGTTCATAGATCCTGGATTTAATAATCCATTTAGGATAAGGAGAAATCCTAAAGTCCTCCATGTTCAGTCCACCTTAAGAGAGTCCACAGAGCCTCTCGCTGACCTCCCACAGTTTCCGGGCCACGGCATCGTCTCTGGCCTTGGCACACACTTCCTGTTCAGTGCAGCAGGCGAAGTAACGTCCGCTCAGAGGTTCGATTCCCTCCTGCAGGGCACAGTGCAGCGTGGTCTGAGCTCCGGCCTTCGGGTCCAGGAACAGCAGCTGGGCCACGGGCTCGATGAAAATCTTCTGCCACAGGCTGACGTGTCTGGACAGCTCTGTACGAACGACACCTGCAGGAAGAGAGAGGTTTGAGAAACACACGGTTCAAAACAGTGATGGATGCAAAATAAACAGGAAGCTGCAGAACACTGACAGTTGTTTATTTGTAGTTTATTAACCGTGATGTTTAGACAACATTACAATATAAAGAACAACTTCACGCTAAGTGTTGGCACATCTCCTCTCCAATAGACCTTGTGTTATTCTCACCTGTCTATCAGTTAAATCCCTAATATTGGTAATTATCAAAAACAACACGGCAGTCATGTTTTCTACTACATACAATGTTTATTCTTTGTAGATTTAAAAAAAAAAAGTTGTACAAGAAAATATAAATAAGCATAAATTGCTACCTGGTTTTATTCCTACCTTTTAGATAGAACCTACTCAGTCACCGTAACCTTGAATCACATGTGACCACATGTACATGTGTTTTTGCACATGTGAAATTAACCTATGAAAACATGTGAAATGTGTGGAACACGTGCTGATGACTGTAACTCCCTCCTGTCTGTCATAAACCCGCCTGTGCTGTTTGTGCATGTTGATTTTACAGTTGTATTATTCCTCCGCCCGGCGACAGTCAGAGCAGCAGCCATATTGTTTTCGGGTTGTCTGTCCATCTCATTCTCATGGACACGATATCTCAGAAACACCTTGGTGGAACCTCTTCAAATTTGGCTCAAACATTCACTTGGATTCAAAGATGAACTGATTATATTTTGGTGGCTAAAGGTCAAAGGTCAAGGTCACAGTGATCTCACAAAACACACAAATGGTTTATATTTGATATGACTCTGGATAAACAGGGATGTAACCTGAAACTACATATATGTTTGTCATGCAAAGGTGTGGAAATGACCTGGATTACCTGGGTGGAGGCTGTAGCAGGTGACGCTGGTTCCTTTCAGCCTCTTGGCGAGCTCGTGGGTGAAGAGGACGTTGCATAGTTTACTGTTGCAGTACGCCTGGAAGAACTGCCAACTGTACCTGCCGGTGCCCAGGTGTCTGTTTGCCGCCAGAGCCTGAACACACACACACACACACACACACACACACACACACACACACACACACACACACACACACACACAATTAACACAGGATCACCTGAGTGACAGGGATCATCACTAAGTGACAGGTGGTGCGACAGGCATGTGATGACGTCACATGTCCAGGTGTTGACTTGGACTGTGAGGCCTGGAGCTGCAGGTGAGCCCAGAGGCGTGAAGGAATTCCTTTATGTGACCGATTTCACATGACGTCATGTCATAGCCGAATGCACATGAGCCCTGAAACAGAAGAACCGGTTCTAACGCTGAGAAACACAATGTTCCTACATCTGTTGAGTATTCGAGGACATCTGAGGAACGGCAGGAGGAAGAGACGCCTTCGTCTTCTCCACTCAGAGAAAGACACTGATGATCAAACCTTTTTATAAACCTATTGGACCAATTGGAGGGTAACCTATCAAAGTAAAAGTACTTCCTATGGTGACAATATCACAGTAAAGGCCTGTCACTGAACCCTGGTACATGGCACACTGTTCCCTCCATCTATTAGTAACTAAACAAACAAAGCTCAGAAACTAAACCATCAAAATGCTTTAAGGTGGAGTACACATCCAACATGATGTCAGGTTTATAGGTAAAAGAAGATGAAAGGTCCAAAAACTGTAACTGAACTTTGTCTTTTTTGGAGCATGTTTTCATTTCTCTTGATGTTGAAAGGTACGAGCGTCTTCTGGATGAGAGCAGGTCAGAGAGAAGCACAGGACACGGATGATGCACTGTCTGCACTAATGTGTATGTTGTGTGTACGTATGTCATGTCAGCGTTTTCAGTGCTCACCTCGAAGTCGATGTGTCCCCAGCGGTGAGCCATGGAGGACAGGGTGACCACCCGTCCTCCCCCCGCCTCCTTCAGCCTCTCCAGCAGGAGGCAGGTCAACAGGAAGTGGCCAAGGTGGTTCACACCGAACTGGATGCCAAAACCGTCCTCGGTCCGCCCGTCGGCCACCAGACCTGCAGGACAGACAAAGATTTAACTTGAAGATTATTCTTCTGTTATAGAGACGGCACCACAAGAATTACACAGAAAAACACTGAACATGTCAAAAATATAAGACGAGTCTCTGTCAATTGTCCCCGTTTGTCCCTGATTTAACTCTGACGTTGGTGTTTTAAGCAAAAGCAAATATTTACTATATTCCTTTTGACATGTACAAATATTACTTTGTGATTTTTGAAGATAAAAGCATTGAACAACAAGTCCCAGCCAGGTTCATCACTTTTTCCTCCTGGTTTCTCCTTGTCCTGGTTGGAGTAAAGACTTGGCTGCCTGTCAGTCTCATAACGTTGTTTCATCATTTGTTAAACTAATGAGATGTTCAGATTTGACTGTGGTACTCAGCAGCTGACAGTGTCTCTGAAGTCGTGTTCAGGTTCAGATCCGCTTCCTGTGATGTGGTGACGTGTGTGTTTGTGTGTACCAGCGTTGTTGATGAGCAGATCCAGCCTGGACTCAGCTTTTAGGAAATTTTCGGTGAAGCAGCGGACGGACTTCAGGCTGGCCAGGTCCAAGTGCATGTAGAGAACATCAGTACTTCCTGTCTCCTGCAAAATAAGACAATGTTGGATTCAGTACAACTATACCACAGACTGTAAAAAAAGACAGAGTCAGATAGATAAAAAAGATTTGATATATACAGTTAAATCACTTAACCTGCAGCTGACTTCAACCCCAACATTTCAACTCCTTTCATTTAATACACAACTCATTTACTCCTTGTAGTGAACTTCAGCTCATCTCATTGCTTAGTGTTGAACTGTATTCAGTGCTTACTTTTAACCTGACACTTCAGCCGCTGTCATTGCTCACATTTAAATGAAGAGACCCAAATCCTCATTGATAACCACTTCAGCTGCTTTCAGCACTTACATTTTCACTGACATTTTCTGTCAGGGCATTGACTCGTTTCTGTGCTTTTAGTTCAGCTCGTTACCGTGCTTACATTTTATCTAACACTTCAACTGCTTTCAAGGTTTCATACTTCGTGCAACAATCTGTTCCTTTCAGTAAAATAAAATAGATTAGACGGTTAAATCACTTTATCTGCAACCGACTTCACCTTCAACACTTCAGCTGCTTTCATTGCTTACATTTAAGTGGAGAGACCCAAACCCTAATTGATTGATTGATTACCATTTCAGTTGGTTTCAGCACTTACATTTTCACTGAAATTTAATTTTCATTGACATCTTCTGTCAGTTCATTGACTCGTTTTTTTTAATCATGGCATTTTATCTAACACTTCAACTGCTTTCAGTATTTCATACTTGGAGCAACAATCAGTTCCTTCCAGTGATTACACTCATAATATTCATTCTATAGTTTCCCCACCTGTCAGTAAACTTAACCTCATTTCAGTACTTAAACTTTACCCAGCACTTCAACTACTTTCACTACAGACACATCAGCTGTCAGCTGTAATTCTTTTACTTACACTTCAACTTCTTTCAGTGCTGACATTTCAGCAAATGTTGTGCACTTCATTGCTTTCATGCTTCCATCCTTCTCTAACCCTCCTCACTCACATCTTTCTCAGCACATTTCACTTTACCTCTCTTTACTAACTCTTCAACTCCCTTCAGCAAATAAAGAAACTCATGGTTGTGACACTTCCTTTCTTTCTACTCTTAATCCTCCTTCGCTCACATTAGTGCAGGAATGCGGTTAAGCTCCCAGCAGTCACCTGCCCCCAGACATTATGGTGTGGCCGCCGGCGACATGTATGTTGTTTTGTTTTCATGTTGTTTCAGAGTGCTGACGATGACGTGCACAAACGTGTGTTTTATGTCACGTTTTTCTCATGATAACAAAAAAATACTGTTGCAATTTCAAGAAAAAACTCATAATGTCAAGACCTGAAGGAAATGTTTCTGAGATCAAGACAGAACTGTGGACATCTCTGGTTTCATAGCCTGGTTCCTGAATCAGCGCTCAAATGTCAGAATGGCTGATGATCTGGTCAATACTTAAAGACTAAAGGTGTGATATACAACCGTCCACTTAAAAACCAGAATCACCTCCTCACAGTTGTATCCCTCCGCCACTCAGACTAGTTCCAGGTTACATCCTGTTTATCCAGAGTCTGATAAAATATCAACCATTTGTGTGAAATTTTGTCATAATTGCTGTGAAGTCTTGAGTAACACCTAAAAAGTGTTTTGTGAGGTCACTGTGACCTTGACCTTTGACCCCCAAAATCTAATTAGTTCATCATTGAGTCCTAGTGAATGTTTGTGCCAAATTTGAAGAAGTTCTGTCAAGGTGTTTCTGAGATATCGTGTCCACGAGAATGGGAGACTGTCAACCTAAAAAACAAAATGGCTGCTGGTCTGACTGTCGCCGGGCTGACACATAAAAACTATAAATACCTGTTGTATATCGGCGATGGCGGCCTCGGCTTTGGCCCGGTTTCGGCAGGCCAGGATCACTCTGGCTCCCTTCCTGGCCAGATGCAGTGCCGTGGCTTTACCGATGCCGGTGTTCCCTCCTGTGGCAAAAACACAAACTGTCAACACACTGTAAAACTCGATCCAGGAAGAAAGTGGAATCAAAGAGGATGGTTTTAATTTTCAGACCTGAAGTTGATGAACACAAACACGAAAAGAGAAAAAAATGACAAAAGGGCTCAACAGCCACTAACATGATTGATTACAGAAAGATCGTTTTTAAAAGATCAAAATCACAATAAACCATCCACTGCAGCATTGGATCAGTTTCTCTTCTCTGCTGCCCGTCACCCTCCATCGTTTCAACATGAGGGGGCTGAAGTCCAGAGACATTAAAATGACATTAGAACATCACAGGAAGAAGGTGGCAGTTTTCTGAGTCAGGTGCTGCAGGTGCTCTCCCCCAGCTGCACCATGGGAACCTCCTCTGTGACGACAGAGCTTCGTCCTGATTGGCTGAAGGCTTCGCTGACACTCATGACACGTTCTGTTTTTCTTTCTAAGAACTTCTGTGGCCAGTTTCACAAAGTTTTCTACTGAAGTCTGACACTTAAGGTTTAATTTCTCCTTAGCTGTGGGAGTTACTTAAGGGTGTTTCACAGAATCTCTTAAAAGGTTTCCTTAGTTAAGGAACAAAGTTAAGGCATTTACAGCAGTGAAAGAGATTTTACAGCGGTAAAATTCTTCGCTTCGTTAAGGGACATCATCATCATTGTCCTGTGCTGCATTCACCGTCTTCATTTATCGCCATAAACTTTGGTCATGTTACAGAGACAGAGTCAGAGGGACCTTCAGTTTTTTCCTTACTTTGGTCTCTAAGGTCTTTGTGCAACGGTTTAACTGACTTCGAGTGTTTCCTTAAGTTTAAGACTAAGATAAGGAGAAAACCTTAAATACTAAGGAAACCTCAACTCAGACAAGAAAATCTTAACTTTGAAACAACTTTTTTTTTCAGCATGACTTCAAAGGAAAATTAACTCAGATTTAAAGGACAATCTTAATTTTTGAGCCTCCTGTGGTTCTCTCTCTCTCCGGAGTGCAGTTGATTTGATCCTCTCTCTGTCAGATCAGTTTTCACTCACTGAGACTCAGTTTTAATTTTCAGTGTGAAATCTGTACAAAACAGTTTAGTTTGTTATTTCTTTATCTGCACATGAAGTAGTCCGTGTCCCACCTGGCTGCAGTCTCTTTCTACTCCAGCCCTGCAGCCACCGGCAGCTCACGTTGACCATCAAGTCACCGGAAGTGAGTCTCACCTGTGATGACGACGGTCTTCCCGGCCACCGCTGCGTTGCCTCTGCACTTGGATCTTTTGAAGAGCGTCTGTGTGAGGACGATGTATCCTCCCAGGAGAACCCCGGCCAGCACCAGCAGGTGAAACATGGTTCGTCACGTCTGTCTGATCCACCTGAGAATCACGGAGTGACGCAGGAGCTCGGGTCTGTCGCTTATGTATCCACCTGGAGGGACTCACCTGTCGGAGCGGTTCTTCCTGCCTGAGCGGGGCCGGTGCGTCACAGCTCGGTCCGGTCCGACCGGTTCACCTGACGCTCACCTGAAACTCTCTGCTGCTGTTTGACCTTTCACCCACTGACTCACCCCCCTGAACCCCAGAGAGACTAAACCTGAAACATAACTTCCTGCCAAAACCTTCAAATTAAAAGCCCAGGTTTTTTATATAAAGGAAATTTAAAAAAAAAACTAAAACTTTACTCCATAAACGCGGGGATTAAAAACACGTCAACATTTTAGATTCTTCTCTAAAAACCACAGTTTAGATCTTTATTTATAGCATGAACAAGTTTTATTTCACTAAACTGGAAAAAAAGATTACACCAAAGTTTATTCATTTAATAAACAGTGGAAATAATTGTGAAATTTGTAAACACTTTTACTCTGTTTCATATTCTATATTTTACTTTTGACTGCACTGCATTTATTTGACAAGATTAATTACAAGTTACTTTGAAGATTCATTTTATTAATGTGATAAATTATAACGTGATGATCAACAGGATGTGCTTACACATTAAAGCATCATTACACGTGTGAAAACAGACTGGGTCAAAATATTTACTCATTTGTGTAAATATAAACAGTCTGTTAAAATAACAATTATTATCAATGAGGCTAAATATTTGTCAAAATTGCGTTCAAGGACACTCAGACAAACTTTAATGAGTGGCTCAGGTATAAGAAAACATTCCACATGACATTCATCAGTGAGGAAAGTGGATCAGACCTGTTGTTGTAATCACGAGTCTGTAAGTGTCACATTCATGTGAAACTCTGGAATAAAAACGAAGCTCTCAGATTTCACGTCCTTCTTCAGGACAGGCCGCAGAAACTCTCGCTGAGCTCCCACAGCTTCTTGGCCGCGGCGTCGTCTCTCGCCTTCGACTCGATGTTGATCAGCGGGGAACACTGGGTGAAGAAGTGGCCGCTCAGGTGCTCGATGCCTGGCTCCAGGGCACAGTGGAGCGTGGTCTGAGCTCCGGACTCAGCGTCCACAAAGAAGAGGAAGATGATGGGACTTAAGAAGAGCCTCCACCAGAAGCCGGAATATCGGCCGATCTCTGTCTTAATGGCTCCTGGAGAGAGAAAAGAAAAGAACCAAAGACTTTAACTGACAATAGATTTAATTCACGTGGACTGGAAGAAGAAAGAGATGAAAAGTACTGAAAGACAAAAAGAAAAATACTCATCGAGAACAAACTGTGACTCACGAAATCAAATTCCAAGATACTGAAAATAATGACACGCAAAGACTAAATATTAGAGATAAAAAGTCGTGATTGTGTTTAATGTTAAGTTTCATACGGAGACATTAGGAACACCTGTACACCTGCTCACTGGTGCAAATATCCAACCAGCCAAACATGTGGCGGCAGCGCAGTGAATAAAGCTTCAGACAATGTTCAAACATCAGACTGATTGTTGGTGGTGTGAGTGTTTCTGAAGCTGCTGATTTCACAACCACTACAACTGCGCCTGGTGGCTGTGTGCCTCCACCAACCGGTGCAGCTGCAGTCCATTAGCGTGGGGATTCTTGAGTTATGGCCATAAGTGGGTTTTAAGAAAATAACTCTGTCTGTGCAGAGCGGTGTAAAAGAAAAAAGAAAAAGAAAAAGAGGACTTTTGTGTGGAGTTTTCTGCTAACAAGGCTTTCTAAGTGTCCGATGACAAGTATCAACGCTCGCCACGAGCCTTGTGACGCATAGACGCCGTCAGGGAAACAATAAGATGCTTCTCAGTAGTAAGCCTATGAAATGACTTCAATTAGAGATGCATACCATTTACAGATTCAGATTTAAAATTGATTTACAAAAACAGCATAAAATACTGTAAATAAACCATTTACAATTATTTCACAGGAAAAGTAATAAAGCATTTCCTTAATTTCATATTTTAATAGACATTAAAAATAGGAATTAATAAATGAACGATTAATCCATCAATAAATACTTCTGATTTAAAAGAAGCATGAACGCTCATTAAATAAAGCACTTATAAATACATTTATTAATTCATGAATAAATAATAGAATTTGAAAAACTATTTGAAAAGACATTTTAAAATTGGTTGGAGAGCTAACCAGTGGGTTTCACCAGCGCTGAAGACCCAGGGTCCCTGAGAATGACTAAGCTAATCGATTAGCTAATAGGAAAAGGAAAAACAGCTGGAAAAAGGAAATGGAAATAGAAAATTGATTCCGGAAATGTTTTCCCATTTTTTAAATGTCTTTTCAAATAGTTTTTATATAGATAATAGATTTTTATCATTTGTCTTTTATCATTTCTAACTCGTCTGTTTTCTTTTCTTGGCAGAATTGGGTTTCCATAACAAGGACTCAGAGTTACCTACGGTAAAAAGCTGCATGCAAACATTAACATTAGCAAAAATCAGATGTGTACTGACCTGGGTGGAGGCTGTAGCAGGTGACGTCGCTGCCCTGCAGTCTCTTGGCGAGCTCGTAGGTGAAGAGGATGTTGCACAGTTTGCTGTGGGAGTAGTTCAGGAAGAGCTGGAAGGTGTTGCTGCCCAAAACTAAATCTCTGTGAGTCGTCAGACAGTTGAAATCCACCTTCCCGAACGCGTAGGCTTTGGAGGCCACGGTCACCACACGGCTCGGCCCGCTTGCCTTCAGCCGGTCCAGGAGCAACGCCGTCAGCAGGAAGTGACCCAGGTGATTGACACCAAAGATCATCCCGAAACCATCCTCCGTCTTTCCACTGTTCATCAGACCTGAGGACAGAAACACCAGGAAGTGACAGAGTCCAAGTAAAAACTGTTATCTCTAAAGGATCTGAAGTTGGACGATTCGTCCAGTACAGATATTCAGGATATGTTTAGCCTAGCTTAGCATAAAGAATAAAGGATGTGGATATCAGGGCCTGTATTTATCAACCTGCTAACAGTGAAACATTAAAGTAAAAATCTTTCACTTAAATAAATAAATAAAAACTATCAAACGACTTTGTCTAAAGATTCTGTTAAATGTCTTAGAACTGAGCTGCCTCTGTTTTCTGTCTGATGATGATGATGATAATAATAATAATAATAATAATGATACTTAAGAAGAGACTAGTTTTAGACTGTTATTTATATTTTAACACTTGAGAGGATACTACAAGTCTTTTTTTATTTATCCAGGTTATAGTGACCAATATGGTTCACCTATTGTACATTTTAAGATTAGACTTATTCGATTTTGGTGGCTAAAGGTCAAAGGTCTAGGTCACCTCACAGAACACTTTTTAGCCATTATGTTAATATTTTATGTGATTCTGGATAAACAGGGACGTAACCTGGAACTAGTCTCAGTGTAGGAGGGATACGACCACGAGGAGGTGATTTTAGTCTGCTCTAATTTGACAGGCACAGTGAGAGAGAGAGAGAGACAAAAAAGTTGGGGAGAGAGAGAGAGGACGACATGCAGCAAAGGGCCACAGGTCGAACTCGAACATGTGGCTGCTGCTGCTTCTACTTTCAGTCCGAACAACACTAGAACTATAAATAACAACAAACTAACCTGCGTTGTTGATGAGGAGGTCCAGCCTGGACTCAGACCGGAGGAAGTTGTCGGCAAAGGACCGAACAGACTTCAGACTTGCCAGGTCGAGCTGCATGAAGATCACCTGGTTGTTCCCTGTCTCCTGATCACACAGCACAACATGATCAGTCAGGTCAGAGGACCTTTAGATCAATACATGGGTTTCCAGCTTTTATCATGTTCCATTATGAGCGTTGTGTTTCTCAGCTTTGTTGTTTTTTATACAACAAATATCCTTAAACTAACATTGATACAGAGAAAAGGGCAGATTCACTTTGAATGTATAACTGTGTATCATCAGCATGATGAAAACAAACGTTATTATCCCCAGGTGACAACATACTGTGTTATATGTATTTCTACAGAGGAGAAGAGGACCTAGAACGGAGCCTTGAGGTACACCAGATGTAACTGTGTCAGTCAAGTCAGTCATTTTATTAACCACACAATTCCTGGAGAGTGAAACAAGTGAACTACAATAAACCTGGGAACCTAAATATGCATGAATGGGGTGATAATCCTGGTGACCCGGTGTGGTGACCTCTACAGTCAGAAACTCTTTCTTTATCTTCACCTGGATAATTTCCTGAATGGCTGCCTCAGCTCGCCCTCTGTCCCGGCAGGCTAGGATCACTCTAGCCCCCCTCCTGGCCAGGTCCATGGCCGTGGTCTTGCCGATGCCAGTGTTTGCTCCTGGAGAACAGGAACACAATCATTTTTAGTAGTATTCCTTGAGACTTGCAATGAAACTAATCATTTGACTAGTTCCATTTTGCCATTTTGCTTTAGAGCTTTACTCTTATTCATTTGGGGATAAATTGGTCTGATTTTCTATTTCTAAATGGAATTAAAGAGTTTTCAATCGTCTTGAATTGGAGTTGATGAAAAAATATTTTTCAAATCCATTAGTAAACGGTTAAATGGATTTATGCATTAATATACTGCTTTTCTAGTCTTATTGACAACTGTGCTTTCCAGTTTGAGTCAAAACCAGCAACAACTCAAAACAGCATGGAAGAAGAAGAAAATGAAAATGGGGGGAGGGGGGATTAAAACAAATTCCTAAAAAAAAAAAGGGCCACATAATGTCCAAGATAGATTTCTCCTGACTGTCCACTGAGCACATCAGCGTTACTTCCTTCTTCTCCTGTACAGGCAGCTTTGTCTGTGGGCTGTGAACTCACCAGTGACGATGGCAGTTTTCCTGTGTAACTTGGCAGTAGATTTACATCTGGGCAGCTTGAGAACGGTCATGAGGAGAAGAAAATAAACTCCGACTGACAGAGCTCCAAACAGCAGCAGCTCCTGCATCATCCTGTCTGCAAATACACCAAACTACAGACAGGCAATGAACCAAACATGCACACACACAGTGAGGCAGTCGGTCAGCTGCTTCAGTGTGTGTGTGTGTGTGTGTGTGTGTGTGTGGACTGTTATGCAACAGTTTATCGGCTGTACCAGCAGCTCCACGCCCTTTTCCCTTCACAGCCAGTTTCATGTTTCCTTACAGTTCTTGCACCTAAACTCTGCTGCAGAGATCGGATCAATGACAGTTTACAGGCTGACGGTTCATTCTTAGGAACTCCAGTGAGGGGGAAAAGTAAGAGAAGAGTAAATATGCAGTTATTCAGTGTGACTGTTCTCAGCTGCTACATGTTGATATAATCAATAATGCTGTTCATATGAATCTTGAATTGCATCACACATTCACAGGGAAATCAGCTAAGCCACTGTGTCAAGGTTGAATGCTTGAAGCTGACTTATAGCTCCACCTTATGGAAGCCTATAGGGGACTATATTCAAATGATAATGTAATTCCACAAAAGCATTTTAATTTTCCATATATGTATGTGTTATTTGAGTACAAATGAAAATATAAATTTAATAAACCAATTTTCATTTTCACATACTTGTATGGGCATTCTAGGACCATATTGAAATGAAAAAGGAAAAGCTGTTTGACATTTCATTTTCAAAGTCATGCCCTGCTGCACAGTGGACACTATTCAAATGTTAATTTAAATTTGATAATTAAAATGCAACAAACAATTTAACCTAAGTTTAAAAATAGGCAAGCAATATTCAGGTCACAATGAAAATGATTTTTTTTTAACAATTTGAAAATGAAAACGAAAACAGCATTTGACATTTCATTTTTTCAAAGTCTTAACCTGCACTGTAAAAAAAAAGTCCTAATTTTACAGAAAATAACTGAAAATTTACAGTAATATTCAGTTTTTTTTTTAAATTGTGAACAAAAGTCTGTAAAATTACAGAAATGATCTGTGAATTAACAGCCAAACTTCTATTTTAAGCATTATGCCAATAATAATGAATTACATTTATTTCCCATTTTGGTAAAGAAAAATTACATACAAATCTGTGTAAAATGACAGTAATTATCTGTAATTAAAAATGTAGCTTGTTATTATAAAGGTTAATGTCCATACGAACAATTTAAAGATCTTCTCTATAATTTCAGGGTGAATCTTATTAGTTTTACATTTATGTGACTTCAACATTCAAACTTTGTAATTCTGGATGAAATGTAGCAAACTTTTTTTCATCACATCAAACATTCAAAATTCAAACAGAAAAGTTTGAAGTACTGGAATGTATCCCAGCATGCACTGGGAGGAAAGCAGGAAAATGGTTTATCTCTCTCACACACACACACACACACACACACACACACACACACACACCTATGGACAATTTAGAGTCCTCAGTGAATGAAATGTCATGTCTTTGTTCTAGTAATCAGAGTCCTGGAGGAAACACGAGGAGAACATGCAACACTGCAAGAAAGAACCAGGGTCGAAGCTGAACCCAGGAGCTTCTTGCTGTTGTCTTCCTGCCTGGACTTTACTAGTCTGTGTGTTTGTGCCAGAAGAAACCATATCTGGATGAGAGGGTGGAGCTGGGGAGGAGGGAGGGGTGGATCATACCTGTATCCTCGAGGACACCAAGTAAACCCTGCTAACATTAAACTGTAAAACCACAGTGTAAAATGTATTCCAACACTAAGACTGATGATGAATAATGGCTCCTGGACTTTTTGCACCTTCCCTCCATCACTTAGCTATGAAGTATTATTTTACATTTCTACTATAATTTATACTTGTTACTAAATAAGATTTATCCACCTCTTTATTATGCAAACTTGTCTTGTGACAGTGAAGTTCACCTGCAGCTTCATTCACAACATGCAGCATTGTGTGGCTATTTCTATGTTAGCTTTAATCAACAACATAAATACTAGAAATATTTAAATGTTGTCTGACAACACTGACAATGAAGGATCAAAAAACATGCTGATGTTAATCTGTAAATACTTTCACCTGTGGAGGTGGTGACAGTGCTAGAGATGATCCATCACTTAATCACAGTTTAATATTTATAAATTCTGATCTTAAAGTGTTGCTACCATCACCTGTCAACAGCAGCAGAAATGAAGTTGCAGGTAAGAAACTGAACCTGTGAATCCTGAAGACAGAGAATAATAAACTAACTCATCAGCAGTTAGTCTGTCATTTCATCAGAGGAAGATGAACTGGGAGAGGTTTTCTACCATCATCATCATCATCACAGCACATTAGAGAACTAAGGATGTCCATGCAGTCTCCCTTCTCCACAACCAGATGAATGGAAACAAATGGGCTGCTCTGTACATGAGGTCCTCCTTCTGTTGGCACAGATCACTCAGTTTTCACAGTGTGGAAACCTTTCAAATGACAATAAAACACAAACACTTGAGTTAAGATGCGGTGGATCACAGTTAATCACAAATATCGATCAGCTGTCAGGATAGGTGCATGAATGTCTGCTTCAGTTGAGGACTGGTTTGAGTATTAAATGAACAAACTTCTATATGACAAATATTTGTCTACACATTTTGTAAACGTCACGTTATCTTAACTTGAACTATCACGACATCTTGATGGACAATGTATTAACCAACATTAACGCTGCGCATTACACTAACGCAGATCACTTAAACTGGGTCACATGTGGAGAAACACAAACCAAACGTCGTTAGATTAACGTCGATTAAATTCACCTTTTTATTGGGCTTTGACTGAACACCTCCACGGGCTAACCCAGGTTGACACAGGTTATCAGCCCAGCGGGGCCAGGTACCGTTAGCATAGCAATCGCTAAATTATCAGCTAACGCTAGCACTAGCTGGCTAGCTTGGTTAGCAAGGTGCATCTTCACCTGAACTGTGATATTAACAGGGATGCTAATTTTGGCTAGCAAAGAAATAAGCTTGAAACAAAATGTACTTACCGGAAAAAAATGAACCGTCGACTCCTCTGAGTGTCTTTGAGAACAACTGAACACAGAACAAGACACTTTCAGGTAAACAACATGTTGGAGCTAACTTTGATGACCTGAATGAGTCACCTAAGAGAAGTTAAGTGAATTTATATCCTGCAAAAATACCAGGTAAGAAAACATTTACTCTATTGTTTTTATGACGTTATTTGTGTTCATGTCGTTTATTTCGGTTTAAAAATAGACGGATAAACCAATGTCATTAAGTATGTATGTTTATTCTGCGTCATTAACGTGTTAAAGCGAAAAGCTAACCGCGATTAGCGCGATAGCCATAACAGCATTTTTCTCAATGTAGAAGTGTATGTGTTGCTAGTATGTGTTAATGTTGTCAGCTGGTTTAAAGCTTAAACGAACTGATGAGAGGTGAATGAGTAAAGTGACTGAGGACACTGTCTTGTACACACTTATACACTTAGACAGAGAGGACCAGGAAACACATTGAGGAGCAGGAGTCTAAACTCTATCGATTACAGAAACTCCAGAGACGATGGAGATGAGACACTACAGTGACGTCAGCACGGTGTTTGGCTAACATACATTTGGGCTCCCATTCATCTTGGTCAACCGTTTCCCATGTTTTCCAGGACATGTGCTGGTTGAGTAGAGATTTTTTTTCCCCCTTGAATTGATCAAAAATCATCCCCATTTATAAAAGGGCTTATAACGCATAATTAATGGTTAGTAAATTATTTACTAATTCTTTACAGCTCAGTTGTAAGACAACAATAAAGTTTTGGGTTGCCAGGTTGTGGAAAATCCTCCTCCAGCTTGACACAAACTGTGTGTAATTTAATAAATGGTTCAATCATAACAAGTCTGCAGCTTTTAATTATCCGTTTACTAATAGAGTTTGGTCCAGATGTTCTACAGTTTGTTTTCCATATGATGAAACAACTGATAAATCAACATTGGTCTTATTGCTGCTTATAGTTGATCTGTAAAGGCATTAGTAAGTGATATTTACCATTAATTACAGACTCGTCGTAAATACAGCTTTCTCGGAGAGTGGTGGAAGGATTCTGGCCAGTCTGAGAACAGGTTACAGACTGGTTTCTGTGTCAGAGATGAAGGAGACCGGAGCTGGGTGAAAACTAGTACAGACTTTTATTAGAAGCTGTAGGCACTGTGGAAACTCCTCGGTAGGTTTTGTCTTTGGTCAGAGTCTCTGATGTCTCTGCTCTCATCAGTTTTTCCAGAAGTTCGGGTTCTGGGCCATCCTCCTCTGAAAGTTTTCATACCACTTGAGGACGCAGCTGGACGGGATGAAGGTCTCGTTGGGGTTCGGCGTCATCTGCGCCTGTGTCACGGCGAAGGAGGAGGCGAAGTTGTACAGACTGTCCAGCATCTTCTGGGTGAACTGCAGGAACGAGTCCACGGTGGACACAGCGGCGCTGGACACCGGCATCTGCTGGGCCAGCTGGTCCAGAGCCTCCACCGACACGCCGACCTGAGCCACAGAGGGGGACGAGGAGGAGGAGGCCATGGTGCCGAAGGGGTGCGCCCCGCCCTCCCCGGCCTTCAGCCCGGAGATCTTGAAGATGGCGCTGGGCTTCTCGTTGGTGATGAAGCCGAGCAGCTGCCACACCGAGCCGCCGCTCGCCGGGTCCGGGAAGGAAAAGTAAACGGCACCGCCCATGCCGGCAGGGAACGGCACGGTGCCCAGCATGAACACCACCACGTGTTTCACGTTCTCATAGTCCGGCAGGTTGAACACGAACTTGTCCGAAGCGACCTGCAACGCGTCAGTCTGCACCAACCTGCCGGCGACCAGACAACCGAACATCCCCAGTGACTGTCCGTTAGCCGTTAGCCGTTAGCCGCAGCCTAGCCTGCCAGTTGGTCTGACTCAGCAGCTCCGAACTGCTAACTGCAGGGTCTGTTGCTTATCCGGTAACAGACGGAGGAACGGATCCCACCGCCGCTGACACTGAACATACAGACAGCAGTTACGGGCCGGTGGAAAGTTCTAGCCCCGTCAGTCATGTCAGTACGGCCCACTGCGGCTGCTGCTCGGCTATCGACTTAGCTGACTATCTGGGAGATTATAGCCCCTCCATTGTGTTTGACAGGCAAATCTTTCTCTCACTTTCTCACTCTTCGCACTTTTTCGCTCTTTATCGACACATTTGTCAGAATCATCTCATCCAACTGTAACCTTCAACACGTTACTGGTTAAACGTGTGGTATGAGGAATCCTACCTTAAAGACTAAACTCGGGGTAACAGCGTTAATGCAGCGCTACGTTGTTGGCAGCGTAGACGATCGATGATTCGTTAATCGACTCACTGCCAACAGCCGAGCAGTTAAGTTAGCGGGAGATAGACCGGAAAAGAGACTTCTTTATTAACAAATTAAAACAAAAATGTCGCGTAAGAACGTAATAGATATTAAAAACAAAATAAATGAAGACATGGATAAGGCATTTTAAGTTTTATATTTCACGTAAAAAATTAAGATACTGTAATGAAATATAACACAATTATTTTTTTTGTAAAATTATAAAATTTTGAGATTTACATTAAAGCACAAAGGATTTTTGTTACATTCAAGATGTTGCAATGTCTTTACCTTCCATGTAGTGTCTGTGCCTTTATTATACATTACATTTAACAATATAATGACTTGTTTGAGGAGTCCTCAAAACCACTTATTTTTGTCTTTATTTCTACTTACTGCAGTTGGTAAATATTGTAACATCAGTGTTGAATATTGGTGTTATTAAAATTAAAAAGAAAAACCATAACGTTGAAGTTGTTGGTTAATAACTACAAAAAGGTGATATTTGATGTAATTGATTGAATGTAACATGGTGAGTGGTTGGTAGTAGAATCTTTCACTGCAGGAAAGCAATATTTTTCATCAACAGAAATTTTTATCTGCCACCCCAGCTTGTCTCCTCTCTCTATTTGAGAGATTCTCTCTTTTTATCACTTAGGTCTCTATTTTTCACAGTTGTACACACGTAGAGGATTAATAGTAAAATTAATTGAATGGCCTCACAGCAAGAAGGTTCCAGGTTCGAGTCCTGGCTCGGACGCGGGGATCTTTCTGTGTGGAGTTTGCATGTTCTCCCTGTGCCTATGTGGGTTCTCTCCAGGTACTCCGGCTTCCTCCCACAGTCCAAAGACATGCAAATGGGGACTAGGCTAATTGAATACTCTAAATTGACCATAGGTATGAATGTGAGAGTGAATGGTTGTTTGTCTCTGTGTGCCCGGCGATGGACTGGCGACCTGTCCAGGGTGTACCCCACCTCTCGCCCGAAAGGATGCTGGGATAGGCTCCAGCCCCCCCGCGGCCCTACTAGAGGATAAGCGGTAGACAATGAATGAATGAATGAATTGAATGTTGAATTGGCTAAAATGGAATGTACTTGAATTAACAAAAAAAAAAAGAAAGGAGGCGTTTTATTTTGAAAAACAGTGACCGGATGTACATTCAGACCGTTCCTGCTGACTTGACACTCGACTCGATTCAGCCGCGGGGAGCTCAGCTGTTTGTCCGGAGACATTTACAGCATCAAAATAAACTGAAATAAACTTTCTGCCGGTGACATCCTGGGCTGACACCTTCCCTGCGCGGATTAACGACTTTTAACGGGCTCTTAACAGGTAAATCGTTTCGTTTTATGTCCCGGTCTCTGTGTAAACTTTTGCCCGTTAGCTAACCGGGTTAGCCACCCCGATGCTAGCAGCGGAGTCAGTTATTCTGCAGTTTGTTTCTTAAACAGAAGACAAAAAGGTGTTTTGTAGTTTGTAGGTTTAGTGCAGTGACAGAGGCGTTTTTCAGGACACAGCAGCTGCTGTTAGCATAGTTTGCTACATGTTGTACTAACGAGTGATGCGTTTGCGGGTCTGTTTTGAGTATATGAACCTCACCACAAATGCCCCGAACTTTCCCCTCAGATAGATTCAGATATTGAAGTAATCTCATACGTTTGTTGTAACTGCCCCAGTTGTAGGAAATATTCTATTTCTTGGACATAATTTTCCCCAATTTTAACCTGACATATTTGGAAATCTTGGAGTTATACGTTACCTTCACTGACTAGGGATTAAATTCAGTTTGAACGATGAACCAACTGGTGCAAACGAGGTTAAAAAGCAAATGAACACACCCTGAAAATCTCACCTCCAGTGGTTTAATTTCTCACTTTGCTGCAGTGATGTGAAGTGTACTTTCAGTACGCTGTGACATCACTGGTGGGTGTGGCTACAGTTGTAACAAGGTGAAATGCACATACACATTGATCTCTGCTGAGATCATCCTGGTTGTTTTTATCTTTCGTTTTGTTCAGTTTCTATTTTCAGTGGATGAATTGACGCATGGACGAGTGTTTTTGTCCCTTCAGATCTGCTGGCAATCAGAGCCGGTAGTCACTGATCCAGCTGTTCCTATCCTGATGCTGATTCTGCTCCCTCAGCTGATACTAAGTCCCGAGCTCACTCATTCATGTTTACAGTAACATGAGGTCAGAGATGTCGTGGCGTCTGTGACCTGTTGTTTCTGCTCAGAGACACTGAGTCTTCTGCTGACGCTTGACTTTATGTAGAAGCTGTATTTCAGGTGGACGTGTCACATCACAAACCTGATCTTCTTCAGAGAAGCTCAGTATTGGTGCTGATACTGATCCAGATCAGTGCATCATTTTCCAAGCTATACTCTAACTCCAGCCTCCGGCCTGAACCACGTCACGCTGATCTGAATATGTTTTACTCTGTCGGTCGACTTCACCTTCAGCTCTGAAGCCGCGATGGTGATTTTTTTCTAACATTTCGGGGATCAAACGATTAAGCGATTAGTTGAAAAAAATCATTGGCATCGTAATCGATAAGGAAAATAATTATCATGCCTCGTTAATTTATTGATAATATGAATCATTTAAATTAGGGCTGAACAATTAACCAAAAATATAACTGAAGCCATAAGTGAAGCGTTGTGTTGCTGCAGAGACGCTCCGGCCTTTAAATCATGACCTCTAGATGTAAAGGATTGTGTTTGTTTGACACAAGCCTCAACAAAAATCAATCATCATTCTTATTATTTTTGCAGTGAAAATGAAATGACACAATCGCACTAATTCCAAAAAACGTTCCAAAAATAATTGCAATATGTTTTTTTTTTTGCGTATCGTATGACATATCAACCTTAATTTAAACCTTAATTTTTTTTTTTAAGTCAAAATGTCAAAAATTCAGTTTCCAGTTTTTCTAAATAAAACAAATGCTGATGTGACACTTTTATTATTTTCTGGCTTTTTGTAAAATAAACAAGAAAAATGTTCAGATTAGTTGATGATGGTAATTATATAATGATGCAGGAGGAAGCAGAGTGACGTCCTGTGATTAACAGTTTATTAAAAGCTCAAAGTGACATGTTTGTACTGAGGTATTCAGCTCTGCAGGAGAGAGTCTGCTTTAAGCTCTGTGTTATTTTCTCTCTGTGAACTGTGTGTGTGTGTGTGTGTGTGTGTGTGTGTGTGTGTGTGTGTGTGTGTGTGTTAATGGAGGAGACAAAGTTGTGCTCTTGAATAATGTATGAGCTGCTCTCTCAGATATTCTTCCAGCGTCTCCTCCTCCCCCTCCTGTTCCGGTCCGATCCGCTCTGGTAGCTTCTCAATGGGAAACAAAGACTGGACCGCTCGGCCCAAAAACACTGGACGTCTCTCAATAGATCTCTGAGCTCCTTCAGCAGCGGCCATAACAGGTTATATCTGATTTATAGCGGGTCACCAGTTTGTCTTCCAGGTCAGGTTTTTCCCACAAAACCACACGTGAACGCAGCGCTGTCACAGACGTCCGGTTTCCCTCATTGGCACCTGAATGCATCACAGTGTTTACGGCAGAGACGCTGAGAGCTAAACTAATTAACAACAGTCAGGTGAAGAAAACAGAGGCTCTGAGAGAGAGGCTCTGTGTTGTAGTTCTGAACCTGGGGAGGTTTGTGGGTTCATGTGTGAAACCCGGAGCCTGGACTCAGTGGTGTTTCAATGTTTTCAACTCCAGACTTTGTGGAGGATTCAGACACAGTCCGTGATCTTTGGGCGTCTGTTTCCTTCTTGTCCAGGTGAGGGTGGGAGTGTTGTCTCCTGTGGGGCTCTGGGTCCCCACCAGGGTTTGTCAGAAGACATGAAACACAGTGTGGAGCCTCAGGGAACACGGACAGAGGCAGAACTTCACACAGCAAAAGGCCGTCAGGGTCTGTCTGGTTCTGGTTCAACTCAACTCAACTGGTTCAGATCAGATTAACTGGTTCAGATCAGATTAACTGGTTCAGATCAGTTTAACTGGTTCAGATCAGATTAACTGGTTCAACTCAGTTTAACTGGTTCAGATCAGATTAACTGGTTCAGATCAGATTAACTGGTTCAGATCAGTTTAACTGGTTCAACTCAGTTTAACTGGTTCAACTCAACTCAACTGGTTCAGATCAGATTAACTGGTTCAGATCAGTTTAACTGGTTCAACTCAGTTTAACTGGTTCAACTCAACTCAACTGGTTCAGATCAGATTAACAGTTTCAGATCAGATTAACTGGTTCAGATCAGTTTAACTGGTTCAACTCAACTCAACTGGTTCAGATCAGATTAACTGGTTCAACTCAGTTTAACTGGTTCAACTCAGTTTAACTGGTTCAGATCAGATTAACTGGTTCAAATCAGATTAACTGGTTCAGATCAGTTTAACTGGTTCAACTCAGTTTAACTGGTTCAACTCAACTCAACTGGTTCAGATCAGATTAACAGTTTCAGATCAGATTAACTGGTTCAACTCAACTCAACTGGTTCAACTCAGTTTAACTGGTTCAGATCAGATTAACTGGTTCAGATCAGATTAACTGGTCACCTTGTGCGTTTGCGTTGCAGTAATTAAAGGAGTGGTTCGACTTCCTCTGTGCAGCTGCTTAGTTTATCTTATTTTAGCTTAGTTTATTTTAACATAAAGACAGAGCAGAAAGAGAAATTTCACCTACCAGCCTCCTGTAGCTCATGACTAACACTGTAAAGCAGAAGTAATCTGAGTTCATTCCTTCTTCCGTTGTTTTTAACAGGATTTAGAGGAATGGCAGAGCAGGAGAGAGGACTTCTCCCTCACTGAGAAGAAGAGGAGGAGGAGGAGGAGGAGGAGCTGCTGCAGTTTCAGGATGGAGCGAGCTCACAGCCTCCTGCTGAACGAGGAGGTGTGCAATCAGCTGGGTGAACATCAGAGGGCGGAGTTTATCTTCGAGTGGCTGAACCACCTGAAGAAACTCCTCCCATCCACAGACAGGGTGAGAGCTGCTGTCAGAGGTCAAGAATTGACCCTGACGGTCACTACGGAGGCCCGGAGAGGACATTTCTGTTTATCACCAGTCACCTCTACACTTTGTTTCTGACTGTTTAAAGTGTGTGATATTTGATCAGCTGGACTTTTCTCCACCTGTTCAGGTCGACATCAAACACAACCAGCGGCGCCTGGTCGACCAGCTGTCGACCGTTCTGATTGGCTCCCCCGGCCCTCCGACCCGCTGGCTGCTGGCCCACTGCTTGGCTCTGCTCTACCGCCTGGGAGACCCGGTACCTTCCAGTTTATTGGTGGAGAGGTGCAATGACATCATCCGCAGCAAAGACGACTCTCCGTCAGGCCTCCCCACCCGGCTGTAAGTCAGGCTGAGTTCATGTCCCATTGGAAAGATGGGAAAACAGAGCTTCCAAGTGAAAATACTTACTCAGATTGTGGGAGAAAGCTTCGTTTGAGTTCACAGCTACAGATCGATGAACAGACCCACGATGATGCGTTTGTGTGTTTCAGGGCAGCCGTCGCGTGTCTCGGCGCTCTGTACGAGCAGCTCGGCCGGATGCTCGGCGGCTCCTTCAGAGACACTCTGACCAACCTGCTGAAGGCCATGAAGAGCGCGGAGGTACGTCTTCCTCTGAACGTCACATCTCTGTGACACTGTCGCACAGAGAACAAGATGACTCACATCTGTGCAGCAAAGTTTAATAAAAAGTTAAAGGTTAAAAACTAAATGAGATTTTGAAATGACAACTTCATGTTGAAAAATCAAATTTAAATAACTGAATAAAATAAATGAATGGTTTGTTTTACAATGAATTTTTAAATAAATGAATGAACTTTATGTATTTCAAGCAAACAATGAAGTTCAAAGTGCTGAAGAAGAAACCACAGGTTTAAAACCTACTCGCACAAAAGGAAGGTTTGTGCTTGTGCTTAAAAAACAAATTACTATTTATAAAACAGCTTCTCGCTCAGGAGAGTAAAACATAAAAGAATTATTTAAATATAAACTCAAATTAATTTGGTATTTAAACATTTCCAACCCATGAAAAGCAGCGACCTGTCCTCGTCCATGTCAGCGATGAAGGTGATGAATATTTAAGTTTCCATGACAACGTGTGATTCACAGAAACAGCACCTCTTTGTAGTTATCTGAGGTTCAGACCCAGTTGACCAACTTCAGCAGTAGTACAAAGAAATTACGTAGCTACGTTTTTATAAACTGTAAATCACTCCCCCGCTCCCTCTCCCTCTCTCTCAGTCTCAGGGTCGCTATGAGATCATGTTGAGTGTGGAGAAGATCCTGCGAGGTTTAGGCGTCAGCGCTGTGCCGTGTCACCGTGACGTCTACAAGGCGGCGAGGACCTGTCTGACGGACCGATCCATGGCTGTGCGCTGCGCCGCCACTAAGGTACAGTCTGACCCTTAACCCTTATTTTTTATTTTATTATTTCTTTATTTATTATTCTATTTTTATTAATTTTATTTTCTATTTAAAAAAATACTATTGAATTTCTTATTTATGTAATAATTATTTTATTAATTATTTTATTAATTATTTTATTTTATTTTTTATTCAATTTTTTATTTTATTTTTATGTTTTCTTGTTGGTGCGTTCAAGGCCCCTCTGACTTAACAGTGATGACTCAGAGCGAGCAGCCTCTGTCTGACTGCGGGAGCGTCTCAGATCCCTTCACTACGACCTTGTTTCCTTCCCTTGCGTCTTCTGTGTGTCTGAGTGTTTGGATGTTTGACACGTTTATTACAAACCTGCTGATGCTCTGGGGTGTCCTCGCTCCTCACAGCAGGAATAAGAGGAAGTACCTGGTGTCACATGACCAGTGTGTGGAGAAGCTAACAGCTGCTGTGTCTCGCTCTGTCAGTGTTTGCTGGAGCTGCAGAGGGAGGCGGTGTTCCTGTGGACCAGCGAGCTGGAGAACGTGGCCACTCTGTGCTTCAGAGCCTTCGAAGGATCCAACTACAACGTCCGAGTGTCTGTGGCCAAACTGCTGGGAACTCTGCTGGCTGCTGCCGTGGAGCCCAGGCAGCCAACCGGTACGACCGGGGGGGGGGGGGGGGGGGGGGNGGGGGGGGGGGGGGGGGGGGGGCAGGAGCGTCAGAGCTACTGGGGGGGAAGAGGGAATCATACAGTTACTTCAACAGTTTCCTCTTGGCGCCTCCTGCATCATGGAGAGTCAGCAGAAACACCTTAAGTTCAGATTTTCCTTAAAGTCGGAGTTAATTTTCCTTAAAATAAAAACAGTTGCACTAAACACCCCAAGTCTACTCCTTAAGGTTTCCTTAAAATGTTCACTTAAGTGTTTAAGGTGTTCTCCTTATCGTAGTCTTATACTTAAGGAATCACCTGAACCTTAAAACCTGAAGGAGTTGTGTGCGACCGGCCCCAGATGTTTAAGATCACGTCTGGGTGTCCGGTGTCAGGGGAGGTTAGCCTAGCTTAGCGTAGCGCCTGGAGGCAGGGGGCGTCTTGATTATTGATCTGATCAGTCGGTTTAATCGAAGCAGATTCATGACTGATTTTCCTCGAGTTATTAAAGATGTCAAACAAAGAAAGTGTCAGATTTAAAGTTGTGTATGAACATGTAAGATTGTTTTTAAAGAATATGGCGGATGTAGATCGGGGGTGTCTCAAAGACTGACCCCGACTCCCTGCTGTTCAAGGACTCCAGTCTTACCCATCATGCTCGTGCACACAGGGAAGGTGGTCACATGTTTAAATGAAGACCTGAACCCTTTTTTTCCACAGCAGCGCCGAGGCAGGGAGGGCGGGGTCGAAGCTCTCTGGAGGAGGTGATGGATTTGTTGACGGCGGGGTTCCTGCGGGGCGGGGCGGGCTTCCTCCGAGCCAGCGGAGACATGTTGAAGGGGACGAGCTCCGTCAGCAAGGACATCCGCATCGGAGTCACACAGGTGGGTAATCACTCACTCACCTGAGGAGCAGATTACAATGAGTAGACTCAGATCTCACCTCCTCCTCCTCCTCCTCCTCCTCCTCCTCCTCAGGTCTTCGTGGTCTTCGTCTCCACCCTGGG